TTTTTTTTTTTTTTTTTAAATACTTTTTATGTGGAAGAAACATGCTAAACAAAGTATTAGGGAATTAATTAGTATTTTTACATACTTAACGTATCTGGAGGGGGACTTTAATAACCACCTCCAGGTATGACAGCACTAAAACCAAAATAGTGAGTCAGTCTTTTATACGACTGTAATTAAACAGAACCATTACCTTTCTAATCATCTGACCAGAGTGCTTTTTGCACCATGAGTCACAGTCACCTGCAACTCAGTTTACTTTAACACACTCACACTGATGGAGCAGCCATTGGGAGCAATTTGGAGTTCAGTATCTTGCTCAAGGACACTTCAACATGCAGAGTGGGGGAGCCGGGGATTGTCACAGGATGTCTGCTGTGATTCTGAGAGATGTTTTGTAAAACAGAAAAATAGCCTCTGTTATAAACTGGAGGTGTGGAACTGATGTGTGTGTTTACCAGGCAGGAAGGGCCTAAATTAAGACTCTGTCCAGTTGCATTGTGGGAAATGTAGGAGCCACAGTTTGACTCATTAGTGCAGTGCCCAATCAAAACGCACCTGTTTGGAACAGGCTGACTGCTCAGCCTCTGGAACTGCTGCTTGGAGATTTCGAGAGCGAAACATCATCATCCTAATAACTTCACACTGGACACTGACACTTCCTCTGGTCCTCAGAAATACACCTGCCATTACAGAGTTGCATCATCCAGCGGTTCAAAAGTTCACACAAACATTTGATGGCCTCAGTGAAGTTCAACAAATGAAGTTGAGTAAAAAGTACATTTACCTCTGGGGTGTAGTGGAGTGGAGGTATAAAGTTGCATAAAATATGTAGAAATGATGAAGTACAAGTACCTGAAATTTGCACTTACGTACAGTACTTAAATAAATGTACTTAGTTACATTCCTCCACTGCAAAATACCAAACATCTGCCTCATTCTTCCATTCAAAGTGTTTTTTTTAATCATCAAGAAGTCTTAATTAAAAAACAACAGTTGTAAAATATCATCTTATAATCTAAAAAAAAATTACTTTTGTCTCTTTGATCAAAGTTTGAGCACAGAAACATCCAAAACAGTCACAACACACAGTTTGACATTTTTCATGTTTTATTCAAACGTTTGAACAGAAATGATGAAGCTCTGCCTGAAATTACATGATACCTGCAAGAGCATCATCAGAGAACAACAGAAACATGCATGAGCTTCTAATATGACAGTCAACAACAGTGTACCTAATAAAGTGGACACTGAGTGTATAGTTCAGTGTGTAACTGTAGCTGACAGACTCTGGCTTAGCACCTTAACCAATAAAAAGAAGCAGTACATGTTTGTCCCAATGATCAATATCAAAATAAACAATAAGTCCCATTATATTTCACTTTAGCTCTAAAATATTCACATTTCTTTGACAGCGTGACAGCAGGCTTTAGTTCAGTCAAGTCTCATGATTCTGTTAATGTCCATGTGGAGCTCAGTTAGGACCTTTAACAACTACAAGCAGCAGGATCATATTTGGTCAATGGACTACATTATATAGCACTTTATATCTTCCTCATTCATTCATTCACTCACTCACTCATTCACACACTGATGTCAGCCAGCTACCATGCAAGCTGCTGTCTGACCATCAGGAGCAATTTGGGCTTCAGTGTTTTGCTCAAGGACACTTGGACATGTGGACAGGAGGAGCCGGGGATTGAACCACCGACCCTGTGATTAACTGACCACCTGCTAGCAGTTATTTCAACACTTTGTCTGGGAATTAAAAAGTGACTGTGGAGGAGCCATCCTGTTTCCTTCAGCTGAGGATCATCAGTAACATTTAGTTTTTTTTAAACAACCACAGATGGCGAATAAGTATGAAATGGTTTAATCTCATTTCGTCTGGACGATCACAGTTCTCTTTATTAAGGAATCAGTCAAAAGTCACTTGTCTTCAATTTTTTTAAACATGGTGCTGTTTGGATTTCAACTAATTAAAGGAGAACACAAACAAACTTTCATTCTTCATTAGATGCCTGTCACTTTGATAATTTAAGATTCTCAGAAATACTTTATTGATCCCCGAGGGGAAATTATTTTCTGTTGATGATGTTTTGGTCACTTCATGTTCAAACTACAAGTTACACTACAGGTATTTTAATCTCTTCCTAAAATCCTCAATAAGGAGTCTCCTGGTTGTTTCAAGTTACCTGATTATCACCTGATTATCACCTGATTACAGAGGGTGACTGTGATGTTTTTGTCCTTATGGACCAGACACACCAAATGTCAAGATTGCACATCGTCAAGATTACAACCAACAGCCAACCAGCACAAACGTTCTGAGCCTGTATGAGAGGAAATAATTCTCCATAGCAGTAGACGGCGGTAGTCCATAAACTTAATTTAAAAAGGGAAAATGGAAGACAGACAGGTTGAATACAAGACGCTAGTTAGCCGGTTAGCTCATTAATAACAAAGAACAAGAACAAATGATATTTACCGTGCCCCGGTGAACAAAAACACAAACCATCAGGAAATGTTTCTGCTGAGGAGATCAATGGCTAAAGAAAAATAATCTGACATTACGTAACAAGTTTGTTTTGATCTCACTTCCTCTTGACTTTAGCTGTTTGTTTACTTTCCTCACTTCCATTTCTCTTCTTATGCACTGAGCTGAACTGACAATAAGAGCCGTTTTAACATGCTGAATCTGATGACGGCCAACGGTGCGGGACATATTGCAAAGACTAGGGCGCTAGAATTTCACTAACAGCCTGACACTGACTAACGGCCGACCGTCAGCTTGGTGTGTCAGGGTCTTTACACTTCAGCAGACAAGTCTCAACCCTCTTTAAAGAGGTTGATCCCTTTCTAACTTGGATCACTGAACGTTGCTTTTATTGTTTCATTATCCTACTTTGCCATCACATAATTATTTATTATTATTATTAATCAAATTATTCATCACATTTCATGTGACTAGTCCGACTCTGTTGATCTTCATCTATTTTTTTTATCTCTGTGATCAAATATATCTTGTATTGTGCTCCTTCTTTTATTGTACCACTAGTACACAGAGAATTATGGGTGTTTTTGGCTGCAATGTACGAAGTGTTTCTGTGATGCAGGCTTTAATTAGTACTCAATAAGACAGTACCATCTACACATCATTTATAGAACTAAGGAGGTAAAATTTCTTGATCATGGCCGTTAAGATCATTAATAAATTAAACTAATAAA